AAGCATTTGACTTGATCAACATCCATTTCTGATTAAAACTCAGAAATGTAGGAATAAAAACAGTATCTTCAGTCTGGTAAACAGTACATATAAAAATTTAGAGTTATCAGACGGTGGTTAACGACATAGTGGTTAAACATATAGTGATTAAAATTAGGAACAAAACAAGGATGTCTTTCTCACCACTTTAGCATTGTACTAGATAGATACACAAAAATAAATTGCATTCTATATAGTTCAACAAAAAAATCAGAAATAAAAATTAAAAATCAATACCATGTACAATAGCCCAAGAATGTGAAATACTTGGAGATATATCTGGGGGGAAAAACATAAAAATTACATTTCTAACAGAAAATAAAAAGGACCTAAAGGAATGGAGAGGTATTCTTTAATCCACAGTTCAAGCAATATTAAGATGTCATTTCTTCCAAATTATCCTAGAAATATAATGAAATCCTTGTAATTCCAACATAATTTTTGTAGAAATGACAGATCCATTAATGAGAAAATGCAAAAGATTAAGAATAATCAAATAATTGAGAAAGAAAAGGAGCTGGTCATGATAGCATATGCCTATAATCCCAGTACTTGGGAGGCTGTGGTAGGAGGACCATCATGAGTTTGAGGCCAGCCTGGACTACATAGTGAATTCAAGGCCAGCCTGAATTACAGAGAGAGACCCTGTCTCAAAAAAATGAAAAATAAAATAAAGGGTCAGAAAGAAAGTACAAAGTTGGAAGACTAACATAACTTTATTTCACAATTTGGCATAAAGCTACAGTAATCAGGACTGTGCAGTATTGGAGCCAAGATAGGCAAATACATTAATAGAACAGAATAAGTAATCTATAAATAAACTCATGCATCTATACCTCCCTGACTGTTAACAAATGTGAAAAGACAATTTAACAAATGTGAAGAAAGGATAAAATTCAATAAGCATCTTTGAATAACTGTGCAGAAAAAAAGAAAGGGAGATAAGAGAAAAACTGAAGCAAATTTTGTACCAATGCAAATGTTAACTCAAAATCAATCACTGATCTAAATATAAACCTAAACCACGAAACGTCTAAAAGAAAAAACAAAAGAAAACCTTGATGACCTTCATTGTGCAAAGATAACCTAGACTATTAATCAAAGAAATTTATTATAAAGAGGATTCCATCGAAGCTAAAACCTTATGCTTATGGAGATATTATTACAAAAATAAAAGCCAGGCTATAAATTGGAAAAAATATTTGAAAATCATATAACTGATAAATTATCTGTATTTGTAGTACTGTCAAAAAACTCTCAAAATTCAATAATAGAAATCAAGCTAATTTTTAAAATTGTAAAGAATTTGAACTGATCCTCACCAAAGAATACATACAAGGGGAAATGTATAAATAAAAAATTTCAATTTCCTTAGTTATTACGGAAATGCAATTTCCAGCCACAGTGAGATACCATGAGAGCATCTAAAATTAATAGACTTGATTAAACCTAGTTGAAGTAGGTGAAGAAGAGGAGACACTAAAACTCTAATACACTATTGGTGGGGATGCACAATATGATGGTAAAATATTAAAACTTTAATATTTGGAAAACAGTTTAGTAGTGTCTTAAAATATTAAACATATGTAACATATGCCCTTGATAGTCTATTCCTTAAGTATTTACCCACAAGGAATAAAAGCAAATGCTCACAGACACTTCTACATGAACATTCACAGCAGTAATATTTTTAATAGCCAAAAACTGGATACAACACACAAATGTCTTGTTGAATGAATGAAAAAAATCCTTTCTAATTGTATATTCTTCAACTTGCATGTATCTTGAAATAATTATATTGAATGAAGAAAGGCAAATAAGAAAGCAAATGTATTATATGGTTACATTTACATGAAACTCTAGAAAATGCAAACTAATCTACAAGTTAAAATAAAGATTAATGGGAGAGAGATAGGAAAAAGGATTAAAAAAAGACATTACAAAACTTCTTAGGTGACAGATAATTTCCAACTTGGCTATGGTGTTTTCACAGTGTATGATGTTAGAATACATACAATTACACATTTCAATTATACTTCAAGATAGCTATTAAAGAAAGAAAGAAATTTTTTTTCTTGAGAAATCTTCATTGGAAATGGGTGGATTCCATCACCAGTTGAAACCCATGCAATAAGAACTGCATGTCTAATGGTATGTCAAGCAAACATATGTAGGGGTAGAGGCAAGTAAGTCAGAACCATTTACAATAGTGGTTCTGAGCACAGTACCATAGTTTGTTCATTTTTCTTTCTTTTTTTAATTAAGTTTATTGGTACATTTTAGGTATGCATAATAATTACATTCATCATAGGGAATTTATATTTGTACATGATATATCTTGATTATCTTTTCTCATTCCTCTCCCTCCCTTCAACTCCTTTTCCCTTCCTTTATTTACAAAAGTTTGTTTCCATTTTTTTCTTCTTTTCTCATTTTTTCTTTTCTCGTCTTTCCTTTCCCCCTTCCCTCTTTCTAGTTCCCCTTCCCATTTGAACATTTCTTCCTATTTCACAATATCTATTATACATTTTAGTCCTTATTTACACTTTCAGTTTCTCACACCAGAGTCAATGTGATATATGCACGTGTGTCCCATTTATTTCACTTCAGAATATGGTCTCAAGCTGCATCCATTACCCTAAGAGTATGATCTCAAGTTTATCCTCCTTTATGGCTGAGCAGTATTCCATTGTATAAAAAAACCCCAATCTTCTGTATAATTCATCAGTAGATGGGTATTTGGGTTGTTTCCAAGATTTATCTATTACAAATTGTGCTGCTGTAAATATGGATGTGCACATATCACTCTGGTTTGATGCTTTTAATTCTTTCAGGAAAATACCAAAAGGGGGAATACCTTGGTCAAATAGAACCTCTAATACCTGGAATACATAAAGAATTGAAAAAAATCATACCCCTCAAATTTAAAGACTCAATCCAAAACTGGGCATCTGAGATGAATACACACTTCTCAGATGAAGAACTAAAAATGACAAAAAAAATATGAAAAAGTGAACCTCAATGGTCATTTGAGAGATGCAAATTAAAACAGTGCTGAGATTCCGTCTCACTCCAGAAAGAATGGCTGCTGTCAAGATATCAACCAATAACAAAGGTTGGTGGAGCTGTGGGGAAAAAGAAACCCTTCTACACTGTTGGTGGGAGTATAGTCTGGGCAACCACTGTGGAAATTAGTGTGGAGATACCTCAAAGAACTGGGAGGGGAAGGGGGAAGGAAAAATTATGAGAAAAGAAAAAAATGGAAACAAAGTCTATGTAAAATAGAGAAGGATGGAGGGGGTGAGGGGCACACAGGTAATGGGGAAAAAATAAGAACCAAGATACATCATGTACAGGTACAAGCACCCAATGATAAATGTAAATGTATTGTATACCTAAAATGTACCAATAAAAGAATTTAAGCAAAAAAAAAAAAAGCTAACACTAGACGTTCCATCTGTCCCAACTATTCCCCTTCTTGGTATCTGCTCATTTTTTACACTTGTAAATTGGCAAATCTTTACATAAAATGTAGAGAATATAAAGTAATAGTCACTGTATTTTCAGTTTTTCCTACTGTTTTGAATCTTAACCTTCTTGAAAAAAATTGAAATTCCCCAAATCTCTGGCATTTGGCATGGATATTATTTGTAAAAGTACACTGATAACATATTTAATCAAAATATTTTCCTGAATTTATGCATGGTGAAGTAAAACTAGAAACTGCAAATACTCTTTTAGAATTGAAAATAGGGAAAAGAACTACAGATGTATCTCTAAAACTATTTCAAGCTATATTAGGTCATCATTTTTTTGCATTATATTTAAAGAATCACTACTGTTGAATGAACTGAATTTACATTACACAAAACTTAGCCAAAACCCCCCATACATGAAAATTTTAGTTTTTAGTAAATATGTCATGGCCCTAAACTTTTACTTATTCTTATAAAACATCAAAAGTAGCCTTTTTGAGCCAATGCAATGATCAGTGACTTGAAAGGACATCTGTTGGTAACAGTTTGTATATCTACATATTATATACCACATTACTAATTGATAATCATTGAGGTAGTCATTACCTCAATATAAAACCTAATATCCAAATTATCACACCAAGGACTTGTGCATTATTATATAACTTAGTTACAAGTACAAATATATTTCATTGAAAAAATATTAGTAATTTTTTCCAAAATAACTAACATTATTGAATCAATAAAAGTACATAGAATTTCCAATAAATGCAATTAAATGTACACTAAATATGACAGTAGACTTCCATGTCTTACTTAAATCACTAGTGTTAATCACAAAGATGTACATCCTCATGTTAAAATCAGAATCAACTAGTGGATAGAAATACAAGGAAAAATCCTACTTCAGGTAACCATGGAAAAAATCAGAATGCACATTAATTTTGTGTCTAGTCTTTGGTTAAAATTATTCTTAGCCATTAGAAGACTAGTCTTTAAAATTTCATTTATTATCCAGTAAACATGTTTAATTTCCCAAATCTTCCTTAAATAATATTTATAAACATCACATGTCATAGCACTGTTCATACCCATTTGCATCAGCCAATCAAAACAAGTAAGTATTTAAGGGGCACTGGTGAAAATAATTTGTCACTAGATAGGTCAACTCTCTTATCAATAATAATAATAACTGACATTTACATGACATCATTTGTACAGCAATTTCATATCGTCTCTAGATATTTATTCATTAATACCTCCAATATTTCTATGCATTATTTGGCAAACATTCATCTCCACTTTATGATTAATAAAGCAAATTCTAACTCAGAAAGTGACATCAACCTAGGGAGTCTATTTTCTGACTCACAATCCATTTCCATCCACCATGAAGAAGAGAAAAATGTATCTATCATGAGATAATCTGGTTATACCAATAGTGAAATATCCACTTGGCACTTGGTCTTGTCTTTCTATTCCCACCTTTTTGTATGCGATCCAGTCAAACACCCTGTCAATATCTGTTGCCTGTAGCACTTCCTGGGATACTGGATGGGAACTGGCCAAACCGTCAAGCAGCATCACTTCGTGCAGAACGTCTGTCAGAAACCTCTGTTTTTCCTGCAATACAGCAGATGGGATATTATCACAGGCTATTCATGGTTAAAATAGAACGTGCAAAACAACATGGCATAGTTTGTGCGCTTAAATGAAGATGTCCATCAATATTAGATGGTGAGACAAAAAAATCTAAAGAGAGCTCAGTAAATAAAATACCCCCCGTAGGAGCCTCTAAAATAGAGGTAGCTAATTTGAGCACAAATGAAACAAAAATCAATGGATTGCAACAGGCCCAAAATACACAGTGAACTCTGTTTCAACAGTAGCTAAAGCAAATTTGGACAGTAACACATATGAAAATGATAAGATGCAGCCTTCATTATGCCTTCTACAAGATGAAGATCAAAATTTGTCCCAATTAAACTTTTTAGGTAAAATCAATATAAGAATATTATTGCGTCATTTAATGCCACTTATTTACAGTCTATTAGAACCACTGCTTCTCTGTCTGTTTCTCCCTCTTCTACATATATTGCTTTCTGAAAGGAATCCAGGGAACCCAGACACACAGTTAGAGACTTTTACATTAGTCTGTAAGACTTGCCAATGTATTGGTGAATTTAAAATAATGAATATAGATCATTAGGTATTAATAATCTATTTCCATGAAATAGTGAAAACAGATAAGATTTCTAGTCTCTGCATGCTGATACATTAGTATTTGTTCTAATAAAACAGGCTGGTTATGTTGGAAAAAAACTGTAAAGAAAAGGTGCTCCTCTGTTGTGTTTGTTTTAAGAAAAATCTGCTTTAAAAAAAACTAGTTTGTTTATCTTAACAAAAATGCTATTATTAGCCCTCCTGGAATTCTGCCTTCCTTGATTAAGGAGGGGAAGAAAAAAGAAACTGAAAGAGAAAACAAGGGCTAAATAGTCCCTAAATAGTTGGGACCTGAGAAGTATCATTATAGAGATTAAAGACTAACGTTGAAATTGTGCCACCTAATTTGGAATTTACTCCAAGAGTCTCCTATTTTTAAAATAGTAGATAAACAACATGTTATTTCTGAGTCCTAATTTCAAGATGAGTACACCAATTCTGGGATGAAAGAAATGAAAATGACGATGAAAGGAAAGAATAGTTAACTGGGTGTATATATGTGTATAAGTATAATGTGATTTTAAAATTATTTTTGTTCATCTTCACTTGCTCAGTGACTTCCTATGTTTAGTTAATAATTTAATTAATCACTCATTTATGTAAGTGTGAAGTTCATTATCTAATAACTAAGCCAGCAATGTCTCTAACATCAAGCTCTAATCGGAGCCCCTGTATGAGACATTACTGTAACTTTTGGGGGGACTTACACTAAGAAATTTAAAACATTAATCTTCTTATTCTTAAATTTTTAAATCATCATTCTTCTCCCCTTAATTTGTACTGGATTAGGAAATTAATTTGAGAAGTATACCATTCGTTTGTGTCACAGCCCTAAGATGCCACAGATGAAGTTTAAATATAGCCTGAATTAAGTGACAAATCATAAACTAATTATAAAGAAAACATCATTTCTAGGACCCCAAAACAAATACACACATACACACAAAAAGAAAGATCAGGCAAATGGCTTTGGAATAAGAGAAAAATCATCAATTCCCAGCCCTGGGGAAAAAAAAAAGAGACAGAATCATGCAATAATTGCAAAATAAAGCTTTAAATGTTCTTTTCAAGCAAATATGTATTTCTGTTACTCACTTAAAATTCAATACATACTAAAGCTATCTGATTAAACTAATTTTGTAGAAAAATTATGAAATGTGTAATCCTAGTTCAATTTGACCAGTTAACATCTTGATTACTAAGAAGTACCAATTCAAAAGATGATTCTATTTGAAGATAAAATGATATTCTGCTTTTGCAGAAGTGATTTACTGCTCCATTATAAGTCACTCAAACATCTAACAGAAAACCACATGGAAAATGTACTTAAAATGGTGCCTTCTTTCAATCTTAACTTTTAATACTTAGCAACAGTAAATATGTATTGATCAACATTAGGATTTGATAAATGTATCTTTGGTTTGCTAAAGATGTAATTTTTAACATGGTATAAAAGAAATGACTGTGTAATTTTTAAAATGAAATTTAAATTTCAAAAAAGAAGTTTTCATGTTAAATATAAATTATATAATACTAAATTGTTTCATCCTTTTGGGGAAAAACAAAAACAAACCTTTGGCTAATTAATTGAATTTTAATGAGTAATATTTTAATTTCACGGGGTTAAGTTATTAATGGATTATTCATCTTCTACTTTGTTAGGGAGGACTATATCATATGATGGAGTAAAAAGCTTGTATGCATAAAGAGGGTAAGAGGTTAGAGTAGGTGGGGTGGGAGCCTGGCAGGATGCACTCAATAAGCACGGAGAAAAGGATGCCTTAAATTGAGAGGGAAAAAATAGATAAAATTCCTACCAGATCACACCTAATTTAACAGATCTACAAAGACTTTCCAAAAAAGAAGGTATTTAATATTTCATGAAGTCCTGTGTGACTATTAAATAAGCAACAGTCATAGCTCATCATTCCTGGATAGAGCTCTCATCACCAATATCAACATCAATAATAATAATAATTGCAAAATTGTTTAGTATAGATTAATCACCTGAGACTCTTAAGTTTTAAAATGAAGGAAAAGATATCCTACCTCTAATGTTGCATTAGAGATAAATCAAAATAGTTGGCCATAATGCATGAAAAAAATAATTTGCTATTACCTGCTAGAAGTGTTAAAGGGATTTAAAAATAAAATAATTCTGTAAAATACAATTACTCACGGACAGTTTACTGGAAGGAGATTTTTATCTTACCCTTGAAGAAACCTTAAAGTTTGGGGTGTGTGTGTGTGTGTGTGTGTATGCCTGCTTACTCGGGGAAAAATATATTTATAGTGAATACTGAACAATTAGTTTTTTTAAAGTTCATATATCAGACATTTAGCCTCACTTTAAGCAGAGTAACTTAGGAAGCTCAGACATTATCAGGAAGCTAAGTACAAACAAGGAATGAGAAGAGACATTAGACAAATCAAACCTCAACCCTGAGTCTATCTCAGCATGATTGTATCCATTCCTTATTGGGTTGGGCCTGGCCTGGCCAGGAGAGCTTTTCTTGTCTAGACAGAGGGCTGTGGTTTGAATATGTGTGCCCCTTCAAAATTCATGTTGAAACTTAACCCACAATGTAACAGTATTAAGGGGAAGGCTTTTAGGTGCTGATTATGCAATAACAGTTCTATCCTTATGAGTGGGATTCACAGCCTCATAAAAGAGCTGGAAGAAGCAAGCGCTGCTCTGTCATGTGAAGATGGAGCTGTGCACAGACTTTGAAGCAGAGAGTGCTCACCACACACTGAATCTTCCAGCACTTTCTCCTTAGACTTCCCAGCCTCTAGAATGCTAAGAAATTTCTCGTTACAAGCTACCTACGCTGAGGCATTTTGTTATAGCAATGAGGGAAAAAAAGAGAAGAGCTTTAAAGGGTTAGAAGTTGCTACTGTGCACATTTTTCCAGATTCCATGGATAACTGAACCCTCTTTTTTTATTTATATATTTATTGGTACATTTTAGGTATACATTTACATTTATCATTGGGTGTTTGTACTTGAACATGATGTATCTTAGTTCTTATTTTTTCTCCCATTACCTGTGTGCCCTTCACCCTTTCCACCTTTCCCTATTTACAGACTTCGATTTCATTTTTTTTTCTTTCTCATAATTTTGGCGGGAGGGGAAGGGGAAAGGGAAGAAAGGAAAGGAAAAATACCTGAACCCTCTTATGGGTTAGCACAGACTTTCTTTAGCCCTTTGAAGATATTCTGCTACTTCCATTTTCCATTTTGGTTGTTATTCCTGTTCCTTTGTAGATTTGACCTTTTTTTCAGTTTGGGATCCTTGTCTTTGGTATTCTGCAATTTCACTACAGTGTATTAATATGTGGCTTTCTTTTTATCATACTTGCTTCTATTTGTGGATTCATGTCTTTCATTAGTTCTGAGAAATGTTTAGTTATGACTGAAATTTCTTGTGTATCTATTCTCTGTATTTCCACTTTTGAAAACTTTAATTTTATACAATACATGACTTATCATGGTATTCTTTAACAATATAAATTTTTTCCTATTCTTATCTCTGTGTTCCAGGTAAATTTTCTGATCTATGTTTCAAGGCACTGTTTTGTTTTGTTTTGTTTCACTTCACCTAATCAGTTTAGTCTACCAGTTTTTAGTTTCAATCATTTCTATTTTTTCACTTCTAAAAGTTGTATTTGGTTGCTTTTAAAACATGTCTGGTCATTTTTAAAAGTTGCCTGGTTTACTCATATTTCTACTTAAGTAAATATTAAAGATTTAGATATTTCATCCAGCTATTTTATATTCTGTAAACAACAATTTTAGTATCTATAGTTCAAGGAGGGGAGCTAAATCTGTTCAAGCCATTCCAAAGCTGAAAGAGAACTCTGATATCTATGGGCTGATCTACTGAGTTGATTCAGTTCTTCACTTAAATTCTTAAAGAAAATAACATAATAGTATATTCTCTTGGCACATATGTTCATTCTTTTTGCTTTGGTATATAAGTTTATAAAAACATTACCTGATCTATATGGCAATATTATGAAAATCTCCCAATAATTATAATCATGTACTTTAATTTATAATACATTTTCATTAGACATTTTGATGCTATTTGGTACTTTTTTGGTACTCATTATGCATTTGTACCTCAACAATATGAGATATTCTTAATCTTAATGTGTTTGGTTTGTCTGCTTGATTTGATATCCTGATTTCAGGATAGTGTAGCATAATGAGCATGCTTCAGTCAGACTTATAATCAAATTCAGTACTACTCAGTCATAAAGAAAGATAAAATTGAGACATTTATAGCTAAATAGACGCAACTTAAGACTCTACTCTTAAGTGAAATAAATCAGACACTTATGTGTAATTATAGCACTGGTGTGAGAAAATGAAAGGATAAATAAGGACCAAAATG